AGGATTTGTACACGTGCAACTTTGAGCCCGGATGCCTCATAAGTCTCACAACTAGCTAGCCAAGACACTAGTACCAACATCAGTACATCTCAACATGATCCTACACATGTCTGGTTTGTAATTTTGTATGGCTCTGTTTTGATGTCGCATGTATGTGTTGAATACCATGAAAAACTGCGGTGCTTGATCCTTTACAATTGTTTTCTCAACCCGCAAGTATGGGCAGACGACCTGGTGGGACTGGCTATGCGGGCTGGCAGCGTGACGCGCTGTACTTCACCAAGGTGACTCCACGAACTCACGTTGGCATGTGTTGCACCATCCGCAAGCTCACACATTCCCAACAGTTGATTAGGTCTTGGTCAGCAAGCAGACTGGAGCGAGAAAGAGCATCTAAATGCGGCGTGGACCAAATCATGATTTGTTGCTTTGTTCCAAGTGATGTCCTAGCGCCCTGCCTGGTCCTGGAAACCCACGGCCATTTTGTCAAAAACCCCTTTTCAACATGTTGAAGTTGATCTACTATATGCCTGGCCTTCAAATAACCATGAACAACTTTTTCAATTTGTAAAGGACCTTTTGATCAACCCCTCATCTTGTGTTGAACACAAAATGGCAACACGGGGTGCCAGGTTGTACATAGACGTGGGCTGGCTTAGGGGTGGGAGAGGGAAAATGTCTCCCCCAAACCCCAGCCAGTCCCTTGCGAAATGCCCCGACAAAAAGGAATGCAGTGTCCATGGGGCTTGCAAGTTAGAAGGAGCAAAGATTCCATTCAAGTCCCAATTCAACTCCTACTGGGACTGCCATAGTTCCAACTCAAAATCCAATGTTTAATTGAGTTCTACCGTGATTGAAACTTCAAGCTTTGCAACGTCAAACTTGTAAGCCGATAGGACTGACACACTGCATGTTTCTTGAAGTTATTTTTGTTTTTGTCACCCCTTTGAGGGGCAGACAAATTGCAAGAAACGACCAGCTTGTCTGTATGATACTGGGTTTTCAGGAATCCTTTTTTGATTCTATGCTAAGACAATTGCAGCTACTCTGGCTTGGGTGAGCAGCAGCAGTTAGCAGCGTGTTACAACAATCCATGAAGCAGAGGGCTCCTCTTAGTGATTCAGAACTGGCAGGAATAAACACTCTTCAGCAAAGCAACTGTACAACTTGCTCAAAATATCAAACCTCAATCAAATCGCAACAGTGCACTACCCCAGTCCCTGAATCTCGGCGTAATGAAGCAGCAGCTACTTTAACCAGCTGATATACCAGTAGAGCCGGCGAAACTGGTGGGAGGAAGTTTCAAAACAATAAACATTGCAAGTTGGTTTCCCTGTTTTGTTTTGTTTTTTGTCTGCTTTCTTTCTGTCCTTCTTTGTTTTGTTTCTTTTTTTTGCTGTTTCGTTTCTGGTCCTAACAAAGCATAACCCCGGTGTTTGTGGGACAGTTAGGGTAAAGGCAACCGATTGCATGAAACATGTTGACAACTCTGCAGTTTCCCGAAGAACAAAATGCCAGTGCGTGGGACACACAATCGCTGGATATTTTGATAGAACCTCTGAGGGTTGTTTTTGAAAACACTTAGGGGGCAGAGAGAGAGAGAGAGAGAGACAGGGAGAGACAGAGAGAGACAGAGACAGAGACAGAGAGAGACAGAGAGAGACAGAGAGAGACAGAGAGAGAGAGAGAGACAGAGAGACACAGGGAGAGACAGAGAGAGACAGAGAGAGACAGATAATGGATTTTGGAGATTGACAGCAGGGGGTTGAGCGGGAGATACTGTTCACTGCGACAACGCCGCACCAGGCTAACTCCTGCACCGTCTCAGTATCTCCTCATGTTCCTTTTCCCGAGGTTGTCAAGGGGGGAGGGTTCCCTTTTTGCGAGAAACATCTTGGTTTGTCCTGTTTCCTTGCTTCATCTTGCTTCCTTCTCGCGAGGTCTAGTTCCACCGCGCCGTGCTTTTGCAGCCGTTTTGGCGCAGAAGCAAGTAGTTTTGATGAAAGAGAAGGGCAAGTCTGGATTGCGATGTTCTTCTTGCAAAGTTGATTCCTGCAACAGGGAAAGGGGCACCAAGACCGGATCAGCAACCGCCCGTAGCAAAGGTGCCTGAAAAAGATCCCAAGATTTCCCAAAAGCAGATTTAATCCTGGGGGTTCACCCTTTTAGGCACGGGGTGCTCATTTTGGCTTTGCTGATGGCTAAGCGCACATGGAACGTTGCAGGGAGATGGCGATGCAGGGGAAGGCGTGGCTTCGAGTTGCCGCAATTTTGCGGCTCTTCATAAGGTGAAGTCGGTTGGGCAATGCTACACGACTGGCAAACAAACCATTAGTGGAAGCGTAGTAGGCGTCTACAACCAATTTGGTTAAGCAACCACCACCCTGGCCACCTTTGATGGAAAACCTCAACATTTCAAGTTTGGTCTAAACAACAGGGGCCTGTATTCCGCCTTGTGGTGGCTTTAGACATCATGAAAGGGGCACCAAACTGAAAGCGCTGCAGTTTTGGCGGCTGGCCTATTTTGAGGCAACCAGCATTTGTGTGTTCTTTGGAATTGTGGCCCTTTTCGGTTGCAGATGTGTGGCGGGGGGACCAAGAGGAAAGCCACCATCTGACAGGGTCCGAAGTTCCTTTTGACGACCCATACCCAGGTGAGGAAGACGCGCGTCTACGCAGCTTGGGAAGTTGAATTGAACCAGGGTTGAAGTAGATGGCGCAACTCCATCCCTTCACGGCAGCAAGAATGATGATGAAACCCAAATAGGGGAAATTTGTGCCATCTACAAAGCCCGCAAATGTCAAAGATGTCACATCTCTCACCAGTATGAGATGCGAGCTTTCGCAGAGTAAAATCGGCACTGAAATTTGTGAAACGCTCTTGGATTTAGGGAGTCTACCTGGGTTCTCTAACTGATGTTTCCCTCGCATTAACATACCCGTCGGGTACTTTCCAGCGATGAATCCCAACTCAAAGGGGCTACCCCTGAAATGTGGCTCTTGTCAAAATGAAGGAGCTCCAAGGCTTTCAGCAGTTTTGTGCTTACCTGGCCTGGACCATCAAGCTACCCCTGCAAATGACATATCCCTACCACAATGGGCAGGCTGAGTAACATTTTGCTTTCTTGCCCTTGACTGGACTCATGAGGGTGGAATACATGTTTGATCATATTTTGGATGAGCTTTAAGGGGAAACCAGTTGATGAGTTTGACCCGCGCGGTCCTTATTTTCCTCGCTTTTGCGTGGGTCAAAGATGCTTTTGAGGTGGTGGTTGAGTCTTCTCTCGGTGCGGTGGTTGAGCGTGTTCTTTCAAGGGAGTTTGCCTGAGGCTGGACCCTACCTTGAAATGAACATTGGCATCACCTTCGCCTTGCTTTGAGAGTTCAGGGAGTTTGCTGAGCTTGTGATTGCCCCACAGGTGTTTGTTGAATGGTCAGTTTGGCGGAAAGCCTGGTCGGGGTTTGGACTGGTTACAGCTTGGTTCCATTTTGGTTAAAGACTTTGGCAACCCCACGTTAACCCCTTGGATTGTTTCAGTCTGAGTTTGGCTTTTTTGTTTTGTTTTGTGTGTGTATTTATTTGACGGCACCCTTTCCAGGGTGGTTTGAAGGGACGCATTCCCTTCTGGGCTAAGGTGGTGGAGACAAAGGCCGAACGCACCCCCAAGGTGGCAGGTTTCTCAAGTTTAGCCAAGGCGGTCGTTTTTGCTTCTCTCGCTTTTTTGAGCTCCGATCTCTCAGCTTCCCGGTTGGTGGTTCAATCGCCTGCAATTCAGGGCAAACTGACGTGCCTTTTGTACATATTGGCAAGGCATGATATCAAGCAAATAACCATTGATTCAGTAGCTTCGGTGTTTGGGCAAAGGTGGTAGTTGTGCCATTTTGGTTGGTTTTCGAGATGGTGTGGCTGTGATGTAGCGGGCATTCCCCTCAAGTTGGTGGCCGGGATCCGTTTTTTGCTTTTTTGGGAGAAGCCGTTTCCTTTTTTCAGGGTGGCATTCCCCCCGCTCTTGCATCTTTTTTCTTGGGGAGGGGGGGGTTTGTTCATGCAGAGGCCTTGGCCTTGGCACGACTGCGACTTGGAAGCCTCCTTGGCGAGGCCGTGGTACAAGGCTGGAACATGGTGCAGGGCCAGAACGCATGACCAACCAGGAAGCCAAAAGGAAGCGCTGCAATCCCCTGGAAGAGCTACGATCTCTATATGGCCTGCGGTGATTTTACAATCATTTACAAGACATCCACAAGTCAAAAGAGTGCCTTTTTAGTCCCGGGTAGACCGGCAAGAGAAAAGCGCACACATAGCGCACACCAGGAATTATCAAGGCAGGTTCCTTACCCTTCCGCCAAACCTCTTTTGGACGACAACTTTCTTTTTCAAAGGGAGCGTGTGCACGTCCATGTTTGTTGTTTGGATGTTACGCTCAAAGTGTGATTCACAATGGAGTCATAGCGAGCTCATGAGAATTATCGTTTTTGTGGAGCATCTTGCCAGCCAATAGCAAGCTGACTATGCCATCAAACCAACCAACCAAACCAAACCAACCAAACCAAGCTAACCAAACCAAACCAACCAGAAAAACCAACCAACCAAACCAACCATCCAAACCAACCACAAACCAACCATCCAAACCAACCAAGCCAAACCAACCAAGCCAAACCAAACCAAGCCAGTCAACGCCAAGCTCATTTCGGAGCAATCCATTGGTTTCCCTTCAAATCAAAGGCGCAGTTGTCCTTTCCACTTTTGGGACACCAACATCTACGGATCTAAGATGCCAGCTACGGGGCATTATACAGACAGTTTGCAAACAAGCGTTTGATTTTGATGGGTGACTGTACAAATGTCCAGTAAAATGTCTTGTTTCTAGTATTGTGCGTCCTGGGCCCCCTTTGGAATGTCAATTTGCAGGAAGGTAGCCCAACGATTTCTTCCTTGTTTTATTCTCCCTTTGGCCCGCTTGCTTGACCGCCGCTCTTGGTTGATCTCTGAGTAAACATGGAGGTCTTTGGTGTGATCGAACGCTCCTTTGACTGTTTGAAACATGTTGCTTTTCCAGCAAGCCTGCAAAGGGTGATCGACCTTTTGCTCGTTCGGGGCGGAGCGAGCAATCCAGTCAAGGCGTGTTGTTTGTGAACTTTGCTCTCCAGACAGCCGTTGTCTTTGAAGTGGAAGGCAGCGTTTTGATTCGCGTCGCAAAGGTGCCTGAGACGTTCGAAAGTCGTTGGCCAGTTCCCTTTGCTTGGGGAAGCCGAGGCTCCCCCTCAAACATCGCAGCAAAAGGAAGCTCACGCTTTAACGAGGCCAAACCGTGATGTTCAAAGCCACCAAAGGAAACCCTGGACCCCCAAAAGGCCTTTGAAGCAGGTTGGTGTTTAGATGGCAGGTTGAAACAGTTGGGTTTAAGATCAAGAAAGGGACACTCCCAGGTTGTTTCAACAGTTTGGCGGATAATGCAGGTTGAAAGAGATTGGTCCAACCCTGAGGTGGATGAGGTCCCACTCATATGGAACACCGTGCTGATGGCGCAAGCCTCAGGCAAATGCGTGAGCCAGGCGCAAGGGGAACGGTGAGGCAGACGGGTGTCTTTTCCCCAAATGTGTGCCAGAAGGGTTCCAGTTATAGACAGGGGTCTGGAGGTCAGCGCGTGTTTGCGTCGCTGCGCAGGCACGTTGTTCTAGGGGAAGGTTGCGCGTTTGTGTTGCCGCAAAGTGATTCGCGACTCACAGGCGATCGTTTTGAGGTGTCTTGTTTGGCAGGCGCGTGGCAGCCGCAACAGCAGATTGGTTGACGCAAAGATAGACGGATAGGCAGGCGCGCAGAAAGATATGCAAAGCGAATTGGTTGCTGCGGTTGACAGGTTAGATAACTACGTACATGTGATTGGACAGATGGAGAGGCAGATAGATGGCGAGTGAAAGGAAAGAAAGGAAAGAACGAGAGGGAAGGAAGGTACATGCATGGGTGAATAGGTAGATGAATAGACTGACAACTCACTAGGTCAGTAGCCAGTTGGCAAGTAAATGGATAGGCGGAGACGCACACAAATAGACATGCCACGGTGGCTTTGGCATCATTTGCGGCTTGCGTCAGGTGCTCAGATTTCCCTTCAGGCTAAATTTAAACGACCACGGGGCTGCCCTATTTTAACTCAGGGAAGCTGAAGTATACTGAAGCTCCTGACATGAAGAGTTCAGGCTTTCAGTGGCTACTTGAAAAAAACACAGACGCCCTCTGGTGCCATGTCAACAAACAAACCTTGAACAACGCCGCCCACATTGGGACTTGCAGTATGCCTTGAAGAAGGGGGGTCCCTTGCACGTTGGTTCAACCACTGTTCTGGGACCTTTGTGTATTCCGCCACGGCGGAAGTGAGTGCCTACGAGGCCTTGCTTTCGGTCTTCACGGAGCAGACCATCATGCCTCTGGAAGGCACTTGGGGCAAACATGTCTTGTCTCCGCCTCATTTTTCTTATTCTCTGTTGTTGGTTGGTAGGTTGGCTGGCTGGTTGTTTTTGTGTTTCCTTGCCTTGCCTTGCCTTGCCTTGCCTTGCCTTGCCTTGCCTTGCCTTGCCTTGCCTTGCCTTGCCTTGCCTGCCTGCTTGCTTGCTTGCCGCTCGGTTGGTGGGTTGGTTGGTTGGTTGGTTGGTTGGTTGGTTGGTTGGTTGGTTGGTTGGTTGGTTGGTTTGCTTGTGTTTTGTTTCATTGCTTGCTTGCTTGCTTGTAATCTTGGGCAGTTTTTGAGTTGCTTTCCACGGGGGGCCAAACCGACCATGTTCAAACCTCCCCATTTTGAGGCACCATCTTATTGCGTCATGTTTGGCCCAAGGCGCTACGTGCTGGGCGAAGTGGGGAATGTGATCAGTTCTCTGTTTTAGATTTTGGCGTTGCGAATTTACCCATCGCGGACGCAGAGCGAGGTGAAATGGGGTACGCGTTGAAGCAAGCTCGTTTTGGGACCTATGCAGGTTTATGTGAGCCACACATCAAGCTTGGGCAGCGAGCAGTTGCAATTATAATGTGTTTTGTGCTTTCTATCCTCTACTTCTTCACAGGAGGTACTTGGAAAGGTGCGCCATCTGAGGTGATCAACCCCAACCTTTGGGGGGATGCTTGTTAGTTGTGTTGATTTTAACCTGAGCGTTGATGTGAGCCTAAGCCTTAATATGGACCGAGGAACCTAAATCTTCATGAAGTCCAACGTGGGTTCGTTCGTTTGCTTATTCAGAGCCATGCCAAGAGGAGCCATATGTAAAGGTGACTAGTGAGTATTGGGGCCCGGGGCCAAGGTGCATCAGGGGTAAAAACCCTTACCTTTAGCTATGATTCTGTATTGTGGTTGGATCTTTGACCTTCAACTTTTGGGAGAATACTGAGCCTCAAGTTACAAACCTTCATGGTTTGTCGACTCAGGCACATGACATTCTTTCAGTTTGCCCGGGCGGTGTTCATCAACAACCTCGCAGGCGGGCCCGCCTCAAGACGGGGCCTTGACGGGTCAGCAAGGTCCGTTTCATCAAATCAACATACTTGACGGTCCCAGCCATCCCTTTAGGTGTTTTAGGTTTCTTAGGGTCGAGTGGCAGTTTCCACTAAACCACTAAAGGTTAGACGTTTAGCAGGGATCTGGGAACAGCCCCGTAAAGGAAAGACAAATAAGCTCAAGAAAGCTGGGTGCGTTTGATCGGGTTCAAGCAGCTCACTTATCCCACCCTCTTTGAGGATTTGCAAACGCATTTGAACCTCAGGTAAATCTTCATTGGTTGCTTGGATTTGGGTTTGGGGATTTGAGCTCTCTGCTTTGACCACGGAAAGAGAACGTGCCCAACCTCCCAAAGTTCATCATCGGTTTGGAGACAGCAGGGGTACCTTCCCCAAATAAGTTGTAGTAAAATAGGGCTCCTGCAAAACTCAAGTAAGATTCACGCGCATGGACTGCTGAGTGGCCACAAAACGAGGGTGGCAGTCCTGTAACGCCTTGCTTTGACAGTTTAGCAGTTCTTATCAAGCAAACAAGCAAGCAATCAAGCGAACAGATGAGCGAACAAGCAAAAAAGCAAACAAGCAAAATATACAGACAGACAGACAAGCAAAACAATCAAAGAAACCACAATAAGCAAAGCAACGCAATGCAAAGCCAAGCAACGCAATGCAAGCCAAGCAAAGCCAAGCAAAGCCAAGCAAAGCAAAACAAATCAAGCAATCGCAAAGCAAAGCAAGCCAAGGCAAAGCAAACAATACAAACCAAAGCAAATCAAAACCAAACAAACATCACAAAATGGTGACACACCTAAAAAAATAGTTTGTTTTGAACGTGTCGCCCAAACAAGGTTCATGACCCCTTGCAATCCAGGATCCAGAGGTTCCTGCGCATGGTGCTTCCCAAGACGCGTTACTGCTTAGTGCTTGACGCCTCGTGCCCTGGACACGAGATTCTGGTGTGTCATTTTTCAGAGCAGCTTCTTTTTTGGTGGTCTGAAAGGGACGCCGATTTGGGTGTCCCTAATTGTGAGGTCGAGACAACCCCATGAGTTTTTGGTGTTTTCCCGTTTTGTTTGTTTTGGACTGCAAAGGGAACCTCGACAGTTATGAAAACCAGTGAATTGAAGTTCTTAGGGGAAACCCAATGACCTCAAAACTGCACTCTCCCCAGGGCCCCAAGGTTAAATTAGGGGGCATCCCATGCGCGTTTCCCTTTTGTCAAAACCCGCAACAGGGCCCATGCTTTTTTCTTGCCTTGTGATTAAAGTCAGACTTGGTGGGTTCATGCGGGCTTCAGGCTCGAATTTTTCAGGTGGCCGGACTACGTCGGCAGGAAACGCTGGGCTAGTGTTGAACGAACAGCTCATTTGAGCTAGAATCAAAACTCGGACAAGTGAAGATTGGGGTTAACACCACAAATTGGTTTGGACTTTGCTCTGACAAGTAATTTTGAGGCCGTCTCAGACCAGAGTGGCAGCGGAGGCCTTTGGGCTCCCTGAAGCTGGCGCCGCCGGTCTCCGGCTGGGTGCTGATCATTCTGCTCCAGCGAGGCTCAGTCAGCATATACGGCCCGAATCGAGGGGTCGGCATGCAAAAGCCACAGCCGAAGCTCAGGTAGGTAAGTGAAGGAATTGCCATGGCTGAGATATTTTCGGCAAGTGTCGCACAATGGAAGGTAGATTATGCGCTGGCTAGACGGGACAACAAGGCAGACGCCTGGGTTGCTCATGCCTTTATCATGTGGGTGTGGCAGATCCTGTGCATCAAGCTGCTTGTGTGGGGACGGAAGTACTGTTGCAGATGGCCGTGATATCAGAGTACTGCTTGACGTGCTTGAGTCGGACTTTGATGCGCAACCTGCCCTTCAGGCTCAAAGATTGACAAGAAAGTTTGTCGCGGGTGTGTGGAGCTACATGCAGTTTGGGAACGCTTCAAAGGAATCCCAGCTGTAACGTAGGTGCATGTTTTTGCATTTCTTGTGTTTACTTGGGTGAATGGCAAAATGTTATTATAAAAGTGAACACAGATAAAGTAATGACTGAGATGCACACTGAAACGAATCTGCACCTGAGAAATGAACACTACACATCGGAGCATTGTTGCTGCGAGCGCGTCGTGCTTGGCTGATTTTTTGCCGTCATGTCTGCTGAGTCTATGTCGAGTCGTTCTGAGCAGATACTTGCTCTCGAAGCGTTAGTCAAGGAGTGTGCTTCCCTCTTCAGAGAGCTGAGTTCCACCGAGTCTCGCGGTTACGTCCTGGGGGAAATGCAGTCACTAATCTCGAAGATGCAGGAGGAGGTTGCCATTCAGACCCGGGAGGAGGATGCTGTTGCTGCAGCAGGTGCCAAACGTCATTGGGGAGGCGGGCGCCCGGCACGTGCTTTGCACGAAGCTATAGCCGAAAAGGCTGACAGCAAAGCATTGGATGTGACAAAAAAAGCGAGCAAATGGAGTCGCAAATATAGCTTCGCGCGGGCAGCGTTGATACAGTTGGAGCGTGTGGGAAGCAACAAGAAGTCGATTTCGGAGCACGGCGCCGGGCATTGTATTCTGAAGACGCTTCTGCAGGCACACATCCTGAAGATGCAGTGCGTACCTGCTTTGGCTGCCATCTTGCACACCTGGTACGCCTATCGAACGCTTGTGACATGGTTTCGAAATTCTGGCAGATCTGGTGCCGTGCCCGTACATCTCATCAGAGTTGCTTCTCCACAGCTGCAGGGATTGAGCAAGATGACAAACAGGCTGCGAGGCAGTGGGCAGAAGACGTTGTTGGAATCGTTCTTAGATGTGAGGTCCCACGATGCCTTCAAGCTCGGTCCGCAGCCCTGGCGCCACAGAGGGCGTGACACGCTCAAGCTTGATGAATCTATAGCGGCAGGAGAGCGCATTCTAGGTCCACGATCAGAGCTTCAGTTTGATGCATTCATGCGCAAGGTCTTCGATACTGTTTGGTGCAACAAGCGCGTGTCTACTGTGTCGGCGATCCGTGCCATGATAATTACAACTGCAAGCCGCTGCGAAGAGCGTAGCGCGTGGTGGGCATCTGGGCTTTCCTCCTTCGCAGACCTTGCCGGACTTCTCGAGCAGTATGTCGCTGAGAAGGAGAAGTTCCGAGCTGACGCGGTCGCAGCTGCTTCAGGAGCTTCCAGTGGCCAACCGCCGCCGAAAAAGCCGCGGTTTGGAACCTTAGGAGACGTTGTCTCGACCTCGTTCTCCTTTTCGTCAGGCGTGGCAGCTGTTGTCGAGAGTTGGGCTTTTGTGGAGCACTTGTCGTCGCTGGAGTCTTCTGTTTCCTGGGAACAGTTGTATGTGCTGTTCAAGGAGTATGGCTGCAAGTATTCTGGCAGCGCGTTTGTCGCCAGCCACACTTTGGAAAACCTCGTTCTGATGAACCACATGCATAGGCGACTCCCCATCAATCTTATCGACGCAGACAAATACTTCCTGGTCGGGCTGGGGCCAAACACAGCTGATTTCGAAAAATCGTTCCTAGCTGATGAAGGCACGTTGGAACAAGTTGGCCGGGCCGTCATGGATCTGAAGGTGCGCGCGGTTTTGGAGCTACCTGGCTGCGTCTTAGAGTACGACGCGCCATCTTTTGGCATTACGATGTCCAATGTGCAAGACGATGTCTGCATGCTAAAGAAGCACCTAGATTATTTTTGTTTTGCCTATTTGGCGCCCAAGAATAAGTATGAGCCAAAGTGTGCAAGTTGAGCCTGGAGCAATCAATTGCCCGGCGCGCTTCGCGTTGCCTGTCCCGGCGCTGTGGGGCCCAACTCTTCAATGCATAGGCAGCCTGCTGTGGCCAAAAAACGAGTTTGTGGCCCGATGCTTCAACGCACACGTTGGCTGCTGGCTTAGCTAAAGTATGTCGAAGAGAACGGCAAAGGTTTGTTTCAGCGCCGGCCGTGGGATCCTTGACGGGAAGTATGGCGGGCTTCTTCCCATAATGTGAACGCGTGTCTTTGTTTGAAAGCACCCTTATGGGCGTTGACTTGAGTGTGAAACGAGAAACCACCCAGTTTAGGGCGCCCCCTATTCTAGTGTGCGCGTCTAAGTGGTCAAAGCGCAGTGCGTTAACATTGGGGAGTGTTTTCTGGGGGTACCCTGTTGAGGTGATGTTGACTTGTGGCGGGAAACGATTTACTTCAGGTCTGGGAATAGGGTCCTGGCAAGGGGGAGGCAGGAGCGGGTGTTCTTACCAATTTGCCTGGCATGTGTGCAGCGCCGAGCGGGTGCACGCGAGCGGGTGTTCTTATCAGCTGCCTGGCAGGTGACAGGGTGGGCTTCTCCCCAAAATTTGAAAGCGTGTCTTGTTTTGAAAGTGCCCTGATAGGCGTCGTGTGAAAGGAGAAGCCTGGACCGCGTGGTGCCGTGACGTCCAGTTGTACCTACTTGAGTGGTCAAAACAGTGCGCAAAGGCTTGACATTGATGTGTGTTTTCTGAGGGCACCGCTTTAGTTCTGTGTGTGGCTGTCAGGAAATGCAGCCTAGAAGCTACATATGGTGACGAACTGCATTCTGGCATCGTTGTATTGACGACCAACAAAAGCATGTGTGTCGAAGCGCTCAATCGCATTCCAGTGTGATTGACGACGAATCACCTGTGCGCAATGGCAAACAAAGCGCGACCTAGCAATGCTCGCGCAAGCTACGTGGCCAGGAATTCAGTGGACAATCGGGCGTGTGAGATGTCACACCGCCAAAATGTCCAACGTAATTTTAAAAAAAGCGTCCCACCCCCAAGGCAGCCGCCGCTGTGTTCAGACCCACGCCTTGTGGAGGATGCTATTTTTCCCAGCGGTTTGATTGCGAATCTGGCTGCAAACATCCAGGTAGCTGCAGAATCAACATTTTCCACGAACGATTCCAACACCATCTTCTGCCCACTGCCTCGCAGCACGTCTGTCATCTTGCTCAATCCCTGCAGCTGTGGAGAAGCAAATCTGATGAGATGTACGGGCACGGCACCAGATCTGCCAGAATTACGAAACCATGTCACAAGCGTTCGATAGGCGTACCAGGTGTGCAAGATGGCAGCCAAAGCAGGTACGCGCTGCATCTTCAGGATGTGTGCCTGCAGAAGCGTCTTCAGAATACAATGCCCGGCGCCGTGCTCCGAAATCGACTTCTTGTTGCTTCCCACACGCTCCAACTGTATCAACGCTGCCCGCGCGAAGCTATATTTGCGACTCCATTGGCTCGCTTTTTTTGTCTCCTCCTGCATCTTCGAGATTAGTGACTGCATTTCCCCCAGGACGTAACCGCGAGACTCGGTGGAACTCAGCCCGCACCCATTCAGAGGGATCCCCTTTTGCGGATTTCCTATCTGAAGAGGAGGGTTTGTTGGGTCAACAGTTGGCTCCTTCACCTGGAGTCCAAAATAGCGCGCACAGCGTGTTAGGCCAGAGACCGACGCAACGCTGGCTCTGCAACAAGGCCCAGGCACCCTGGGATCCGCAGCACTCAGCTTTTCCTTTCCAAAACGAGGGAGCCCCATGTTTTTGTTTCAGCGTTTTGGCTTTGTTTCGGTTTTTGTGTTGCTTTATGGGGGATTTGAACCCACCATTGTGCAGGTGCTTTGCACCATGTCGCCAAAGTGTACCCATTAGAATCTGAAGTTGACATTCCATATTTCAGCTTTCGAAGTAGCTTTGTGCGAGGATGATGGTGCATGCTCGATCCCGGATCGAAAATCCCTCAACCGGTGCATTATAGAGGCATGTGGGCAACAGGGGAAAAACTCGTTTTTCCCCAGTCGAGAGGGTCAAATGATGTGTCACATCACTACCCAATTCTCCCCTGTATCTTGGTGCATCTCTCAAACCAGGCTTGCTCCAAACATCCAGACATCTATGGCCCATTTGTGAGGGATGGGGCGGGGGACTCAAAGAAAAAATCCGCCTTTTTGTTCCGCTTTTTGGAGTGAATCATACAAGTCAGGATTCCATTGACACGTTGGACAAGATGACTCTGAAGGGTATGGTGGTTGAACCATGCTTGGGGATATGTGCCCTCTGCTTCGAGGAATGCTCCATGCAGCATGGCCTCGAAATGGAGCACTTTCTGTTTTCCAAGTGGGGGTGGTCGCGCAGCAACAACCACGCAGTCTGGCCAGACTGCACAATTGCGTCCTTTGTGACTGTTAGTTTCTCTCGTGTTCTCATTGGCCAGCAACTGGATTTTTTGCAAGGGTTCCTCAACTGGGTATGATTCAAACCAGGGGGCCCCCCAAGATCGTGGCTTCCAAATCTCGATTCCCTTTAAGCCAACAAAGCGTGGCAATTCTGTGCAGGAGATACCTGGAACACACACACATAATATTTGGGTTGGCTTTTGGGTTTGAAAGGTGGGTGTAGGCTTGGTTGGTTTGGCTGCCCTTTGGGTTTAGAAATGGTCCAATGCTGGTTTATGGCGGGTTTAGGTGGGTTTAGGTTGGTATAGGGTTTGCTTGGGGCTTGTTTAGGATTTGTTTAAAGTTGGTTTAGGTCTGCCTTTTTCGGCCAGGGCTCATATGACAAACGCCACCCAATGGGCCTTCACCGTGTCGAATCGGACCAGAATCCTCGACGAGCTTGGACCAAGCGCTTCCGCGCTCTGAATCGGCCTGGCGCTCGGGTCGGAGTCAAATGTGGGTTTGTTCAAAACCCCCCACCTCCTTAAAAGTAGATCGGGGAGTGGGGGTGGCCCAGAGCTGCATTTTATACTTCCATCGTCCCTTTGTGGGGAAGACTGGAACATTGGATGCGAAGGAATGGCCTGCCCAACCCTTTGTTCTTTTTGAACAGCCCGGAATGTTGTGGGCAGCTTCAGGGTATACCCTTTGGGCTGCTGTTCAAAGGAATCTTGAAGACTTGCCTACATCACGCAAGGATCAGATTTCCCTTGTAGTGGCTCCATTTGGATTATGGACTGGCAAACCCTTTCGGTGCAACAGAATCTCATGGGCCCGGAAAGTCTGGTCGGGGGTCAGAACAACAGTGCGCCCTTGCGTTTGGCAAGGCAATTCTGCAGCAGCGCGGCGTACTTCACGAACAGTCACGGCTTTGGGTCTGGTGCTTCGAGGATGGATGAGAGGGTCCGAATTGCTGGTTCCGGCCATGTTAGCAGAGCTCCTTCTGTGTACCTTCTTGGGTGGTGTAAACATTACCTTTCATTTTGGTGAGTTGATGTTTAAGGCAAACATGCAAGGACACCGACAAGGAGCCAACAAGCGCCCCGCAAACAGCAGAGACCTTACCCAGGGATGACGACCCATTCAGCTTCGACGCTCCCGCCCAAAGCTCGGCTTGTGGCAAAACTGCGGTAGAATCTCGTGGTTGCGTGTTGTTGAATTTTGCAATATGGGAATACACCGTGGCTTGCCACTTGTTGAGTTCAAGTTGTTTGTTTTTGTGCAGTGAAGCAATGTTAATGTTGAGTTCCCATCAAATTTGCGGAACCAATGTTTGCCATGGTCAAACCATACTACATCATGAGGTTGGATGATGTCTGAAATTGGACAACGGTCACACGGATTCCTATTCTAAGGGAGCCATGATGAGGAGTGTTGACCAGGGCTCATATGACAAACGCCACCCAATGGACCTTCACCGTGTCGAATCGGACCAGAATCCTCGACGAGCTTGGACCAAGCGCTTCCGCGCTCTGAATCGGCCTGGCGCTCGGGTCGGAGTCAAATGTGGGTTTGTTCAAAACCCCCCACCTCCTTAAAAGTAGATCGGGGAGTGGGGGTGGCCCAGAGCTGCATTTTATACTTCCATCGTCCCTTTGTGGGGAAGACTGGAACATTGGATGCGAAGGAATGGCCTGCCCAACCCTTTGTTCTTTTTGAACAGCCCGGAATGTTGTGGGCAGCTTCAGGGTACACCCTTTGGGCTGCTGTTCAAAGGAATCTTGAAGACTTGCCTACATCACGCAAGGATCAGATTTCCCTTGCAGTGGCTCCATTTGGATTGTGGACTGGCAAACCCTTTCGGTGCAACAGAATCTCATGGGCCCGGAAAGTCTGGTCGGGGGCCAGAACAACAGTGCGCCCTTGCATTTGGCAACACAATTCTGGAGCAGCGCGGCGTACTTCACGAACAGTCACGGCTTTGGGTCTGGTGCTTCGAGGATGGATGAGGGGATGTTAGCAGAGCTCTTTCTATGTACCTTCTTGGGTGGTGTAAACATCACCTTTCATTTTGGTGAGTTGATGTTTAAGGCAAACATGCAAGGACACCGACAAGGAGCCAACAAGCGCCCACAAACAGCAGAGACCTTACCCAGGGATGACGACCCATTCAGCTTCGACGCTCCCGCCCAAAGCTCGGCTTGTGGCAAAACTGCGGTAGAATCTCGTGGTTGCGTGTTGTTGAATTTTGCAATATGGGAATACACCGTGGCTTGCCACTTGTTGAGTTCAAGTTGTTTGTTTTTGTGCAGTGAAGCAATGTTAATGTTGAGTTCCCATCAAATTTGCGGAACCAATGTTTGCCATGGTCAAACCATACTACATCATGAGGTTGGATGATGTCTGAAATTGGACAGCGGTTACACGGATTCCTATTCTAAGGGAGCCATGATGAGGAGTGTTGACCAGGGCTCATATGACAAACGCCACCCAATGGACCTTCACCGTGTTGAATCGGACATCAAGCGCTTCCGCGCTCTGAAACGGCCTGACGCTCGGGTCGGAGTCAAATGTGGGTTTGTTCAAAACCCCCCACCTCCTTAAAAGTAGATCGGGGAGTGGGGGTGGCACGGCGCTGCACTTTATACTTCCATCGTCCCTTTGTGGGGAAGACTGGATCATTGGATGCGAAGGAATGGCCTGCCCAACCCTTTGTTCTTTTTGAACAGCCCGGAATGTTGTGGGCAGCTTCAGGATATACCCTTTGGGCTGCTGTCAAAGGAATCTTGAAGACTTGCCTACATCACGCAAGGATCAGATTTCCCTTGTAGTGGCTCCATTTGGATTATGCACTGGCAAACCCTTTCGGTGCAACAGAATCTCATGGGCCCGGAAAGTCTGGTCGGGGGTCAGAACAACAGTGCGCCCTTGCATTTGGCAAGGCAATTCTGCAGCAGCACGGCGTACTTCACGAACAGTCACGGCTTTGGGTCTGGTGCTTCGAGGATGGATGAGGGGGTCCGAATCGCTGGTTCCGGCCATGTTAGCAGAGCTCTTTCTATGTACCTTCTTGGGTGGTGTAAACATCACCTTTCATTTTGGTGAGTTGATGTTTAAGGCAAACATGCAAGGACACCGACAAGGAGCCAACAAGCGCCCCGCAAACAGCAGAGACCTTACCCAGGGATGACGACCCATTCAGCTTCGACGCTCCCGCCCAAAGCTCGGCTTGTGGCAAAACTGCGGTAGAATCTCGTGGTTGCGTGTTGTTGAATTTTGCAATATGGGAATACACCGTGGCTTGCCACTTGTTGAGTTCAAGTTGTTTGTTTTTGTGCAGTGAAGCAATGTTAATGTTGAGTTCCCATCAAATTTGCGGAACCAATGTTTGCCATGGTCAAACCATACTACATCATGAGGTTGGATGATGTCTGAAATTGGACAGCGGTTACACGGATTCCTATTCTAAGGGAGCCATGATGAGGAGTGTTGACCAGGGCTCATATGACAAACGCCACCCAATGGACCTTCACCGTGTCGAATCGGACCAGAATCCTCGACGAGCTTTCATCAAGCGCTTCCGCGCTCTGAATCGGCCTGGCGCTCGGGTCGGAGTCAAATGTGGGTTTGTTCAAAACCCCCCACCTCCTTAAAAGTAGATCGGGGAGTGGGGGTGGCACGGCGCTGCATTTTATACTTCCATCGTCCCTTTGTGGGGAAGACTGGAACATTGGATGCGAAGGAATGGCCTGCCCAACCCTTTGTTCTTTTTGAACAGCCCGGAATGTTATGGGCAGCTTCAGGATATACCCTTTGGGCTGCTGTTCAAAGGAATCTTGAAGACTTGCCTACATCACGCAAGGATCAGATTTCCCTTGTAGTGGCTCCATTTGGATTATGGACTGGCAAACCCTTTCGGTGCAACAGAATCTCATGGGCCCGGAAAGTCTGGTCGGGGGTCAGAACAACAGTGCGCCCTTGCATTTGGCAAGGCAATTCTGCAGCAGCGCGGCGTGCTTCACGAACAGTCACGGCTTTGGGTCGGTGCTTCGAGGATGGATGAGAGGGTCCGAATCGCTGGTTTCGGCCATGTTAGCAGAGCTCTTTCTATGTACCTTCTTGGGTGGTGTAAACATCACCTTTCGCTTTCTGGTGTGTTTGGTGTGTTTGCTTGTGTGCGTCTTTGCTTTATGTTTTATTGCTTGCTTGCTTGCTTGCTTGCTTGTTTGCTTGTTTGCTTGCTTGCTTGCCTGCTTGCCTTGCCTTGCCTTGCCTCGCCTCGCCTTGCCTCGCCTTGCCTTGCCTTGCCCTGCCTGCTTGCTTGCTGGCTTGCTTGCTCGCTTGGTTAGTTTGCTTGTGTGCGTTTTTGTTTTTTGTTTTATTGCTTGCTTGCTTGCTTGCTTGCTGGCTTGCTTGCTTGCTTTGCTTGCTTGCTCGCTCGCTCGCTTGCTTGCTTGCTTGCTTGCTTGTTTGCTTGCTTCCTTGCTTTCTTGCTTGCTTTCTGGCTTGCTTGCTTGCTTGCTTTGCTTGCTTGCTTGCTTTGCTTGCTTGCTTCGCTTGCTTGCTTGCTTGTTTGCTTGCTTGCTTCCTTGCTTGCTTGCTTGCTTGCTTGCTTGCTTGCTTTGCTTGCTTGCTTGCTTGCTTGCTTCCTTGCTTTCTTGCTTGCTTGCTTGCTTTGCTTGCCTTCTTGTTTGCTTGCTTCCTTGCTTTCTTGCTTGCTTTCTGGCTTGCTTGCTTGCTTGCTTTGCTTGCTTGCTTGCTTTGCTTGCTTGCTTGCTTTGCTTGCTTGCTTGTTTGCTTGCTTGCTTGCTTCCTTGCTTGCTTGCTTGCTTGCTTGCTTTGCTTGCTTGCTTGCTTGCTTGCTTGCTTGCTTTGCTTGCTCGCTTGCTTGTTTGCTTGCTTCCTTGCTTCTTGCTTTGCTTGCTTGCTTGTTTGCTTGCTTCCTTGCTTTCTTGCTTGCTTGCTTGCTTTTCTTGCTTGCTTGTTTGCTTGCTTGCTTTGCTTGCTTGCTTGTTTGCTTGCTTCTTTGCTTTCTTGCTTGCTTGCTTGCTTGTTTGTTTGCTTGCTTGCTTCCTTGCTTGCTAGCTTTCTTGCTTGCTTGCTTGCTTTTCTTGCTTGCTTGTTTGCTTGCTTGCTTGCTTTGCTTGCTTGCTTGTTTGCTTGCTTCCTTGCTTTGCTTGCTTGCTTTGCTTGCTTGCTTGTTTGCTTGCTTGCTTCCTTGCTTGCTTGCTTGCTTGCTTTGCTTGCTTGCTTGTTTGCTTGCTTGCTTGCTTGTTGCTTTGCTTTCTTGCTGCTTGCTTGCTTTTGCTTGCTTGCTTAGCTTGCTTGCTTGCTTTGCTTGCTTGCTTGTTTGCTCCTTGCCTTGCTTTTGCTTGCTTGCTTGCTTGCTTGCTTGCTTGCTTGCTGCTTGCTTGCTTGCCTTGCTTGCTTGCTTGCTTTGCTTGCTTCTTGTTTGCTTGCTTGCTTGCTTGCTTGCTTGCTTGCTTGCTTGCTTGCTTGCTTGCTTGCTTGCTTGCTTGCTTGTTTGCTTGCTTCCTTGCTTTCTTGCTTGCTTTGCTTGCTTGCTTGTTTGCTTGCTTCCTTGCTTTCTTGCTTGCTTGCTTGCTTTTCTTGCTTGCTTGTTTGCTTGCTTCCTTGCTTTCTTGCTTGCTTTGCTTGCTTGCTTGTTTGCTTGCTTCCTTGCTTTCTTGCTTGCTTGCTTGCTTTTCTTGCTTGCTTGTTTGCTTGCTTCCTTGCTTTCTTGCTTGCTTTGCTTGCTTGCTTGTTTGCTTGCTTCCTTGCTTTCTTGCTTGCTTGCTTGCTTTTCTTGCTTGCTTGTTTGCTTGCTTCCTTGCTTTCTTGCTTGCCTGCTTGCTTGCTTGCTTTGCTTGCCTTCTTGTTTGCTTGCTTCCTTGCTTTCTTGCTTGCTTTCTGGCTTGCTTGTTTGCTTGCTTCCTTGCTTTCTTGCTTGCTTGCTTGCTTGCTGGCTGGTTGGTTGGTTTGTTGGTTGGTTGTGTGTTTGGTTGTTTGTTTGCTTGCGTTTGGGAGGCCAGGGGCTTGAACAGCTGCTACTGTTTTAGGGACCAAGCAAAATACGAAACTGCAAGGGGCCTGTCGGACAACCCGACTTGCTTCAAATTCGGAATTGGCTTTTGATCACAAGGAGTGAGGAGTTCAAATTGACTGTTTGGACCTTTAGACGATAAACGAGGAAAACACCAAAACCTTGCCGGAATCTTCGGCGTTGCTTTCCACGGGGGGCCAAACTGACAATGTTTCCCCAGTTTGAGGCACCATCCTATTGCGTCATGATTGGCCCAAGGCTCTATATGCTGGGCGAAGTGGGGAATGTGATCGGGTGCCTGCCATAGATTTTGATGCGTAGCGCAGGCCTACCCATCGCGGACGCAGAGAGAGGTGAAATGGGGTACGCGTTGAAGCAAGCTCGTTTTGGGACCTCTGCAGGTTAATTGAGCCACAAATCAAGCTTGGGCAGCGAGCAGTTGCAATTATACTATGTTTTGTGCTTTCTATCCTGTACTCCTTCACAGGAGGTACCTGGAAAGGAGCGCCATCTGAGGTGATCAACCCCAACCTTTGGGGGGATGCTTATTCGTCGTGTTGATTTTAGCCTGAGTGTTGATGTGAGCCTAAGCCTTCATATGGACCGAGGAACCTAAATCATCATGAAGTCCAACATGGGTTTGTTCATTTGCTTATTCATGGACATGCCAAGAGGAGCCATATGTAAAGGTGACTAGCGAGGCCAAGGTGCAACGGGGGTCAGAACGCTCTTTTTTAGTTATGGCTCAGTATTGTGGTTGGATTTTTGGCCTTTAACTTTTTTGGAGAAATGTCTATTGCTCCACAACATCGGCGGCGGGCCTTGACGGGTCGGCAAGGTCCGTTTCATCAAATCAACATACTTGACGGTCCCAGCCATCCCTTTAGGTGTTTTAGGTTTCATAGGTTTGGGGCTTTGAGCTTTCTGCTTTGACCGCGGAAAGAGAACGTGCCCAACCTCCCAAAGTTCATCATCGGTTTGGAGACAGCAGGGGTACCTGCCGATTCCCCAGATAATTTGGTAAAATAGGGCTCAAGTAAGATTCACGTAAAGCCTTGCGCTGACAGTTTAGCAGTTCCTATCAAGCAAGCAAGCAAGCAAGCAAGCAAGCAAGCAAGCAAGCAAGCAAGCAAGCAAGCAAGCAGACAGACAGACAGACAGACAGACAGACAGACAGACAGACAGACAAGCAAACCAATCAAAGACAACAAAACAAGCAAAGCTCGGGTTTGGAATACATCGGCATTCACATCCAGGTTCGGAATGTATCCGTTTCGGAGTGTGAAAAGAGCTCAAAGCTGAGTGCCAGGCCCGGGACCTGTGCCAGCAGCTGGCTGAAAATGGCCTGGACGGCGTTGAAATTTTGGGTTGGGAGACCATCTTGAAGGAGCCGCCCCCAGCCCTGGGGCAAATGACGCGGGCCGTAGCGGCCGCAGCGGTCGTTGCGGCTCTTGGACCTTAGCGGTCCTTCGCGCCGTGAGGATTTGGCAAACCCACATCCGAGTCAGAACTGTGCGTGGCGCTCGAAAGACCAAAGGCTCATTGCCTACGGGCTTGTAGATTTGGGTTTGGCTTGGCGTGGGCGGGTGGTTCAAAGTTGCATCATCGTTGCCCTGCCAGCTGCAGCCCAAACTGGCTCCAAAAAGAAGACAATGGCGGCTCCTAGCACACCTACGTCGCCGCAGCTTGGCTGGCGGTTTGTTGGGGTCGCGCTGGAAGCCAGGCTGTCACAGCCGAGCTACGATATGCTTGCCACCCTCATATTCTTTGCATGTGTTGCGTTTGGTGTTACAGTTGTACAAATTGAGGGCTAGCAGGTATGGGTGATCCCCTGTTGTGTCGGCAACTGGTCGGTCAGCACCGATCGTTGGTGGATTCTCCAAAGGGATGCCGGCCCTGGTCAAGGTGTTAGTCAGGGTGCTGAACGGGTGCTGTTTAAGGTGCTGTGCTGTTTTTGTTGCTTCAGGGTGTTGCGGGTGCTGGTGGGGGCTTGTTGGTGTGCTCAAGGTGGGTGATCCCTCAACTCCAAATGCGGCTTGCTCATCTAAGGACGCTGCGTACGCCCCTCTGGGTCGCAACGGGCTGAGCCTGACGTGGCAGGCGGGCGCCTCAGATCCCTGTCTTGCCCCGTATCTGCTTTTGTGCATTCACAACAAGTTACACACACATGTTGGCATTTGGGTCAAGCAATGCCTATATCATTTTACAACAGTATTGTGATTGGTGGCGGCATAGACACAAGAGATCGACCTACGGAGAGGGTGCGTGATCTTTCCGAGGGGCAACGCAACAACTGTTGCCGGGCCGGGGTACCAAAGAAACCCTCAGTTTCTCAGGTTATCAGCCGTAGAGCTTGTGCCACGTTCTGTGAGACAAAGATTGATTCGAAGCTAGAGATCTTGAACCCAGCTTCATATTGAATCAATCGATATTTACATTGCCAAGTGGTACAACACTTACGTGACAATGTTGGATGGGAGATGTTTGATTACATTCACGTTTCATCTCTGGACCCGCGGCAGCAAGCCAGCAGAGTGATGCCGGCGTTGATCAGACCATGGGAGCAAGGAGAAGATGATGGGCGTACACGAATCCGCAAATCTCAGAGGTTCCCCAAGCGACCAGAAGTGCGGATCAACAATTCGATGATGATTTGCGGCAAGCCCAAAGAAAGGTGGAAGTACAGATGAGCGAAGCCTATGACGAGAACCGTGCATTGAAGGAGGAATGGGCCTAGAACCCGATGAGGCGGGAAGCCTGCAAAGGATTCTGGGACTTGAGAGAATGAATCACACCCTGGCATCCCAAGTTGCGCATGTTCATGGGAGAATGAGAAACGAATACAACTTGGCGATGGACCAGCTAAACATCAAAGCAAATAGGCTGAATGAGCTTGAGGCTATGGCCTATGATTACAATAATGAAGCTCAACAGATGCGGACGGAGAACAGTGAGATCTCAGCTTTGTTACAGAAAGCGATCGAAGCCACCAATGAGTATCAATCCATGGTCAGCGCTGGTACCGGCTTACGGAGCAAGCTGAGTCATGAGAACGAGCGTCTTCGAGAGGCGATGAAACAAGAAGAATCGACCGTGCAAGCCATGCTGAGAGGTGCGGAGATATACCACAACAACATAGTCACCAACAAAGATGGACAGATCCAAACCTTGAGATATACCACCTTGAGTGAGTCAAGGGAAGAATGGTTCCGATCAGCTGAGAAGCTAGCCGATCAGAGGGCCGCGCCTATGAAGCTTCAGGTTACCAGAGAGGCGGGAATGCAAAATTGCGATATTCAGAACAACGCCAGTTGAGCCGAGAAGAGAGGCCGTTCTCTACCGAAATGACGGAGGAGCGAGCTGAGGTGATGAAGAACATGAAATGGGTTGAGATCAGTACAGTGTTCTTCAGAAGCAATACGAGTCTATCAAGCAGTTCAAGGACAGCCTTCATGAGAATTGCGTGGGAAGTCTATAGTCGGAGTACTTAGCTGCCAGGGGCAGTGAGAGACAGGCGGAAGACGAAGCCGGGATGAGGAATCAGATCAACTGCGTAGCACTTGTGACAGACTCAGAAACCACAGGAACGAGGTAAAGGATGAGCTGGACGAATTGGCCGGAGCGATACGATGAGCTAGTCAAAGACCAATCCGTTACATTGCCCGAGTTTGGGGATGTGACCACACCGCCCACCGGAATCGTACCAAGGTCAAGGAGTGGATCGTCTAAAAGGCGAACGTTTTCCATATCGTGGAACCAGCTTCAATGTTGAGAAGTATTCGTTCTTCCAATCGAACCTCGATGGAATGAAGGGTGGAAAATATATTCCCTTCAAACGGATGTGCGCCGCAATGGGTGAAAAGACAACAGTCCAGGAGTCCGCTTCTTCGAACGCAATGGGAGAACTACCGCAGGCCGAAGTCGCAGGGGCTGACCATTCAGGCCCGGATCCCATTAGCCGATGGGGAGGCTACGATCCAAAAGAAGGGGTGGGTCGCCAAAGGCCCCTCAACAGGAGACCATCCAAATCCCCAAGAGTGCTTAGACCCTCTTCGGCGGAACAAAAGAAGGCGGGCGAAAGGTCCCGGTCCATTAGTCCGGGCGACAAGGGTAACAGAAGGGGAAAGGGGACGATAAAGGACGTATTGGTCGGGTTACCACGGTGGATGGGACGAGTGCTGGTGAACAGTTTATCAACCTATTTCCATGGGAAATCGGGATCGTTTAACGACCCGAGAGTACCAGCGAAATCGGCGCCGTTTAACGGCCCGAGAGTACCATTGCGCGCAATGTTCATTTGCATATTCTATTCCTTGCCTATAAGCATATTCCAGCTTCAAGGCAGGTATTCGGACAAGCGGCAAAATGGACCGACCTATTTCGGTTCATGCTGAATATCGAGCAGGCGTGGGGGGACCCTGGTTATGCCATCCCTCACATGGGGCACGCTGCTGGGGAGTTCATTTCTCTGAGAGCCCAAGCTTAAGGTGCGGACCTCTTCCGCACCGACAACTGAGGATGATGTCATGATTTCGCCCACCTTTTCGGGCATTTCTACTACAAATGCCCTTGCCGAGATTTGAGCACATTTGCGACAGTTCAACGGAACGTTAGTACCCAGTGCTGCTTTGTCCAGATTCCGCGTGAATTCGTCTATCCTACGGAGAGGGTACTGTTTCGAGGATAATCGGGATCCGTGATCTTTCCAAGGGACAACATAACAACTGTTTCCGGTGTACCAAAGAAACCCTTGGCTTGTCAGTTTTTGAGGCAAGTCTTGTTTCTGGAGGGTTGAATGGCAGCCGTTTCTCGGCCAGGGCGTTATGGCCGGCCAGTTCAAAGAGGCTCAGGCGTGGGGCGGGGGGGGTGGCTTTGGGGACGTTTGTTTTGCTGGGGACTGGATCTGAATGCAAGGAGTTGTTTTTCCGAGGGCTTGAGGTTTGAGATTTGGTTTGAATGACCGAGTTGCTGAATGGCTGAATGATTGAATGGCTCAATGACTCAATTACTCAATGGGTCAATGTTCTTTTCCGAGGGACATTTCGTTATTGAGGTTTGATTTGAATGACTGAATGACTGAATGGCTGAATGGCTGAATGGCTGAATGGCCGAACGGCTGAATCAACACGAGCCTTCTGTCCGGGTCTTAACACAACGCTTCTCGCTTTGGAATTCGACTCCTTGGAACAATCATAGAGAATGGCAAGCTGACGCAAGCCCAGATTGCTCGACGGACAGAATGCGCTGCTTAAATAAGCCACCAAAGGTGGTTGGGTGAAGGATCTTTTCCTTAAAGCCTGGTTTGCTGATAGAATTACTTGACACAAAACGGGACATGTGTGGTGTGGAGAAGGGA